ATACATGCGGCTACATGGAAAGATAACTGTCCTCTTTACCCCAGTACACCAAGCCTTTCCAATACCCTGGACAAGGGCCTAGCACGGTGCTACAGAGACAGGAGGAGCTCGGGATGCATGTACGCTCGGTGCCCGGTCACACATTCAACACCGGGCACCAAGGAGGCCTGCCCTCAGGGAGCTCACAACCCAGTGAGAGAGAAGCTACTGAAGTCATGAAACTATAAGGTCAAAAGCACTGGGAAACCGTAACACTAACATCACTTCCCAAGTGTTATTCACAGGGGGAGGTGCCGCACTTCACACTGTGTAAAGGAGACCTTTCCAGCAATGACAACTGTCTGACAAAGGGAGGCTAGGGGGCCTGGTGAGGAGGGAACTCCCTGCCACTCTAGCGGAGATCAGAGGCCCTCTTGTCAAGGATGTGGGAAGGGAGTTCCCGCTCTGTGCAGGGATCAGGTGAGGCTGGGCTTCCCCTCACCAGCTGTGGGATTCTAAGGCAGAGTCCCAGAGTGCTGGGTTCAAATCGCACAATGTGCCTGTTGAGCTCTGGGAACTAGGGCAAGTTACCTAATCTGTGCCTCCATTTCCTTGGCTGTAAAACGGGGGTAATAACAATGAGGATTAAATATGTCAACATTTATAAAGCCTTTGGGAACACGGCCTGGCACAATGTAAGCACTCTGGGCCACTAAATAAGTAAGGCAGTGAGAGCTCTTTGTAAAGGGTCTAAGTCCCAGATTGGATCAAGTGCAGACTCCAGCGTCAAAGGTTCTGAGGCAGAAATCTTCTTAGATGCTAAGGTTCTGAGATTGAAAGAGACTACGATCCTTAGATCCCATGATTTAATCATCTCATTATTCCCTGACAACAGCCCGGAGCCTCCCAGGGTAGGAGAGGGCAGAGCTTGGTGTCACGTCATCTCCCAGGGGCTGCTCCGCAGCCAGGGCTGCTGCCACACCTGGGCTCCCCGGCATCTCCTCACGTCCACCAAAGCCACAGCCACCCCGTCCTGGACCCACCTGCCCACTCGCCTGCATAGGGTTTAAGCATGTGCCAGCTGTGCAGACAGGCAAGAAGGGCAAATAAACAAATACACGAGGAAGTTTCCGATACTGATAAAGAGTTGCAAGGGCTGATGTGACCAAGAGTGACAGTGGGAAGCTATCACAGAGCAGGTGGCCAGGGAAGCCCCAGCTGAGTCAAAACCTGTAAAACAAAAAGGCGCCAGCCGTGCAAGCATTCCAGGTCGGGGGTGGATGTGCAAAGGCCCTGCCAACAGGCTTTGTAAATTCGAGGTGCAGAAAGAAGCCGGTGTGGCTGGAAGTGGTGAGACTGGGGGATAGAGGGGGAGCTGAGGTGGAGGGGTGGGCAGGCCCGGACCATAAAGGGCCTTGTAGGTCCCTAAAGGACTTTGGATTCTTGTTCTTCAAAATGCCTAGGAAATATTAAAAGAGTTTCAGCAGGGGAATGACAAGGCTAAACAAGGCTTTCAGGGTCCCCAGATCATGATCATTGGGCTCATTCTGAAACCAGCACAATGGTTTTCAAAATCAAGGTAGGGCCTGAGGTGGTAATCAACAATCCTTCTAATTGAGTTGGTGTACACTGAGCTCCTACTACATGCCTGGCCACGGTGGGGAGACATCACAGACACTTTTGTGTTCATTCCCAACAAGCCATGAGAGTCACAGAGATTACCCCATTTTAAAGATCAAGAAATCGAGGCTCAGAGAGGGGAAAGATGTACCGAAAGTCACACGAGCCATACACCACACTGTACAAACTGTAAAGACAAATGGATCTTGGTCCCAGGACCCAGATTCACCATCATGGTAGTGGTATTTTCAAGCCCCTGCTTCTCCAAGAGACCTTCCCTGGGGACTCATGTAGGCACCCATGGATACTGCCCTAGCTAGTGCTTTCTGCACCGTTAGCTTTGGAGCCCTGAAGGACTGTCCTTGTATTTCACATGGCTGTCCAACCTGGGCAGGTAAGCTAGGGACTGGCTGGCTGGACAGATGAACGTATGTATGGATGGATAGATGGGAGGGCAGATGGATGACCACTGAAATGACTAACCAATAAACTAATGAATGTACAATGAAAGAATAAAAGAATAATCTAGCAAACTAATGAATGAACTAATGGATGAAGGAAGGAAGGAAGGAAGGAAGGACTCTCACTTTACAGAGAGGCAGGGAAGTGTCTGCCCAGGGAAGGGCTGGGGCCAGGCTAGCTTCAGACCCAGTCCACACCTCACCCACACACCAGCGGCCATCTTGCCCCCATCTCCCAGACCACAAACAGCCTATTCCTCAGCCCCCGGGACAAAGCCATGCCTCTGCCAGGTGCTGGCCATTATAGTGGCCGTGGCCCCATCACCATAACCACCAGCAAGCAGTGGAATCTGGTGGGAGGTAGAGTGCTTCACTCTCCCTCTGAGTGTCTCACAGACAAAAGGAGACAGGAGACAGGCTCTGCTCCTAGCTGGGACCCAAACTGCTGGGTGACTTCAAGCCCGTGGCTGCCCCTCTCTGAGCCGAGATGACCTCTCAGGGCCTTTTCAGCTCTGACATTCTTTAAGGGGTGGGCTTCTAGATTTTTTACACAGTCACTGGGGTAAGCAGAAGAATTTGAAAGATCAAAAACTAGAAGTTGGGAAAGACACCTGTCCACAAGTACCAAAGTCCACCCAGGAAAAGGCTCCCTGGACAAGGAGTCCGGAAGCTTGAGTTTAAGCCCTCCTCTATCACTGCTCAACCTCTCCAAGCCTCAGTTTCCTAAAATTTAAAATGGGGTTAAGTATCCCCCACCTTGACAATTGCACCTGAGTTTCTGGGAGAACCTGACGTGGTAACAATCATGCACTACACTGTGCAAACTGTAAAGTTCCCTTCACCCAGGGAGGATTCTTTATGATGGCGGTGGGCAGGGGTAGGAGTGAAGGTGGACATGCTGTCCCATTCCAGTCTAGTTCTGTCCAAAATGACTCTTCCAGGGGTCAGACCCCCAACAGAGAACGGTGGAGAGAGCCCAGATGTAAAAACCTGAAATCTGAGTCCCTGTCTCAGCTCTCCATCTAACTGGCAATGTGACTTCGGGAAAATCACTTCCCCTCTCTAGACTTTAGTTTCTCCATCAGAAAAATGCCTGGCTTAGTACCCTCTGGCTCAGGCATGCCAAGTTCTGCAGCCCTGAATCCCTAAGCCCCAGGCTTCAACCCCTGGCTCTGCCCGAAGTGAGCTCACCCTGCCCTGTGGAGCCAGGACACAGACCAGGAGTGACTGGAGGGGTCTCCCCTCCAGGAGACTTTGGGGAAGGGGTTAGACAGGCTTAGGGTCCTCCCAGGACAGACAAACTCTCCCAAGAGGGAAAGACCACACCCAACCAAGGCTGCCCAGGTGCCTTGGACAGCGCCAGCCACCCCAGACCTCGTGGGCCTGGCCTTCAGAACACATCTGTAGCCTCAAAGCCAGCAAGCCCTGACCTGTCCAGAGAAATACTTCAGGACCTTCACCCAAGTCCAAACTGCCTCCAACAGGGAGCCTCCAGGGCAGGGCAGGGCAGGGGCGGCAGAGGGGGTAAGAGCACACCCCAGGGAAGAGGCTCAGAAGACCACCACCGGACAACCTCTCCTGGCCCCGCCCCTCAGACAGGTCCCACTGGGGCTGCCGGCCTGCACCCAGCCAAGAGCCAACCGCCTGGGGGCATTCACCACCAGAAGCCACCTACCGGGGCCAGGAGGCCCACCACGTCGGGGAAGGGGCTCTCCAACTGCCAAGCACACTTGCCCAAGGGCTCAGGGAGCTACCGCAGCACCCAGGGCAGGATTTCCGCCTACAATGGGGCCCCGGCCACCCATGAAGGAGACAGGCCCACCCCACCCCCAGCTCAGAGCTCTGAGGGTTCCACACTGCTCCAGGGCTGGGTGGGGGAGAGCAGGATTACTTCCTCATGCCGAGGGTCTTAGTTGGAAACCCAGGGCCCACTCAGAGCCCCTATTGCCAACCCTCTCCTCCAAATCTGAGAATATAGTTCCTTACAATGCCGTTTTACGCGGCCTCTTCCAAAAGACATTTCCTAGTCCCCCGAAACCCCCGTCCCCAATCCTCCACATCCCCCCCGCAGCTCTGGGGAAATCGGCAGTTAACTTTTTCCCAAAAATCCCGCAGAGGCAGCTGGCTGGGGGGAGAAATGAGCCCCGAGATCCTTTCGCGGCATTTCACCGCCTTCCAAAAGAAAAAAAAAAAAAACTAAAAAAAAAAAGAAAACTTTCGGAGTTAACTTTAAATTCCCAACCCTCCCCCCAAAATCGCCCAGCGGCTTCTTTTTTTTTTTCTCTCTCTCTCTTTAAAGTGCAATTGCATTGTGTCTCACCTCCCCGAAAGGCTCGCGGCTCTCGCCAAAGAAAAGGAAAAAAGCCAACCCTTCGGGTGCCCCCTCTGCTTCCAGCCGCCTCTCCCACATTCTCAGACAGTTTTATTAAAATTTTCAGACAAAAGAAAAACAAAAATGGCAGCCTGGCTTATTTTTAAAACAGGACAGGGACGCCATATTCTGCAGATCTGCAAAAAAAGGGAGAAATCCGGCACTGGCCGCTCCACCCGGCCGGCTGCAAAGTGCGCGAACCGCGTCGTTTGCAATCCGTTTATTTGCATTAAGCCCCATGAATCATTGTTTACCGGAGAATTGCAGCAGGTTTGAATAGCCCGGCTTAAGAAAACACACACACGCGCGCGCACACACACACACACACACACACACACGCACACGCACACTCGGAGAGCAGACCAGACACACCGCCGGAGACACTTCCTACCCCCCGCGCGCCGCCACCGCCGTCGCTCCGGGCCGGGCCCGAGGTGCAGGCGGCCCCGGGCCCTCTGAGCGCCCCGGCCCGCGCGGCCGGCCCCCCGCCCGCAACTCGGCGCAACTTTCCCGCGGGCGGGCGCCCGCCGCCGCCGGGCCCGCTCCCCGCGCTCCGGGCCCGCACGGACCTGGCTGTGCTGGCGGCGGCTCCGGGACGCGGCCGCAGCCCCGCGCCCGGCGGCCCGAGTAGGGCCGGGCTGGGGCTCCGGCTCCGGGCTCCGGCTCCGGCTCGGTGCGGAGCCGCGCGCAAACCTTCCGGGTCGCCTGCTGTTCACTTCTGGGTTCTGCAAGCGCCGAGGCGGCGGCGGCGGCGGCGGGGCCTCCAGCTTCCCAGGACAGTGCTCTTAATTCCCCAGCACCTCCATCAGTCGAACAAACCAGGCTAGGACCTCTGCTTCTAGCACCTTCCACTGCTACTCTATTCCCTGTGTCTGGACTGTGAGCCTTACAGATGTCTTGGGTCCCTGAAAGAGAGGTTTTTTGTTTTTTATTTTCTCCTTGTAGTGGAGACACGATAGATAGAGTTTGGGGGTCTAGAGAGATAGTTTTCAAACTCTAAACTGATCTGAAACACCTGAGATGATTGTTAAACACGTCAGTCTTTCCTAGCTGTTACTGAATCTCAGTGAACTCTCTGTACCCCTTTGAGAAAAGTATACCACTTAACGGAATTTTTTGTGTGTTTACATGATGACTTTCCTTCCAGTGCAGCCCTAAATCTGAAGGGAAAGCACTGTCTTGTTTTGTTTTTCTTATTATAATGTTTCTGTTTGATTATAACATTCATAAACATTTCTCCCGGCGACGGCGGACTGGGGACCTGGGCCTGGCGGGCCGCGGCCCCGACCAGGCCGAGCCCGCGCGGGGCCAGGCCGTGCCTGGGGGTCTCCCTCGCAGACGGCAGGCAGGAGGGGACCCCCCAGGATGGGCTCCCACACCTGATAACCAACGATCGTGCTCAAAATCCAGGCTGAGATTTTTGTTTTTAAGTCGAGGACACGGGGATGGGGGGAGGGGGAGAAGTTTGTACAGGCCAGGCCACCCCCTCCCTCAGTAAGCTCCGGCGCTCCCTGGCCCTAGGCCCGAGCCCCCAAAGGGTGGGGCCGCCGGAGGTTGTCAGTGGCTGTCCTCGCCGAGTCTCTCAGAGGTGGCACCGGCTGTCCCCCAGCTCCAGACCTCAGAGCCATCTGTGTGTGACTCCTCCTCCCGCTTCACCCTCCCCAGCCAATCAGTCACCAAGTCCTCCCGATTCGGCCTCCCGGGCTGTGTCAGCTTCCAAACTTCACTTCTACCTGAGGAGGCGGCCAGTCCCTGGGTCCTTTCACCGGGCTCAGACCTCCTGTGACACTCACTCACTGCCGGCTGGCCTCTAGGCCACGATGAATCAAGGCTGGCCCTGCCCTCAGGGAGCACCCAGTCCCCCGGGGAAGGACACACACATAAACAATCACCTGCCAGTGTTTGCCTTCCTCTGGGAAGCATTTCCCAATTCGTTAAATAGTGATTAAGGACCTCCTATCAGACGCTGTGCTGGTTGGCTGGAAACACAGCCATGAGCAAGTTGGACAAAATCCCTGCCCTCCTGGAGATTCCAGTCTAGCACAGGATGTCAAGGCTGAGCAACTGGAGGACAGCGCCCACGTGTACCATTTGTGTTCAAGCCCTAAGCACAGTGCCTGGCACCGAGCAGAGCACAATACATATGTGTAGTGGGAATTAGGTGGAATTATAAAGGGGAAGAGGATGTAGATGACACAGAGGAGGCCTTTTTTTCCCCCCCCCTCAGGGAGGTGGAGAAGCTCTTCAGAAATTAGTTCTGGGGTGAGCAGGGTTGGGAAGAAGGGAGGGGTTTCCAGTTTCCAGGAAAATGGGGGTGGTAAATAGCAACCCATTGTTGAGAAGTTCAGTGCAATGATAAATTAATAAATGGGAGAGGAGACAAATGCCTCATGCAGAAGAACTTGAAATAATTTCTGCAGATAGCCAAGGAGGTGGAGCATAACTCTCCGCTCTTTGGGGGTGGGCTGCATAGAGTGACTTCCTTCCAAAGTGTGCAGT